CTCAAAAGGACGAATACTATCCGGAATTCAGCGAAGCAGAACGTCGGATTGGATTTTTCTCGCAGAGTCTGGCAACGCCGATGCCCGCGCCGTTGCCGGTAGAGAATACACCTACTTTCACGGTGTTGACTCCTCATTACTCGGAGAAGGTGCTTTTATCATTGCGTGAAATCTTGCGAGAAGACGAAAATAGCAGGGTAACATTGTTGGAGTACTTGAAGCAACTTCATCCTGTGGAATGGGATAACTTTGTCCGTGATACACGCATGCTGGCGGAGGAGAGTGGTGTCGGATTACCTTCTTCTTTCGATTATACCATGACGACAGCGACCGATTCTGCCGAAGAAATATCGGAGAAGATGACTTCAAGTAGTGGCAGTAAGGCTACTGGAAGTGGCTCAAACAACAAAGCTCGCAAAGAAGCAAACCTCGATGACTTCGCCTATTATAGCGTTGGGTTCAAGACAGCATCCCCCGAATTTACGGTTCGTACCCGAATTTGGGCTTCACTCAGAGCGCAGACTCTGTATCGCACAGTGTCTGGTTTCATGAACTATCAAAAGGCACTCAAGTTGCTCTATCGCGTCGAGAATCCTGATTTGGTGCAAATGTACAGCGAGGATCCATTTCTGCTAGATCGTGAGATTGAGAAAATCACCAGGCGCAAATTCAGATACTTGATTGCCATGCAGCGTTTCGCCAAGTTCAATCGCGAGGAGAGGGAGAATGCAGACTTTTTGCTTCGTGCGTATCCTGACCTGCAAATTGCCTATATCGAGGAAGAGCCTCCTCTAGTGGAAGGCGGAGATCCGGTTTTCTTCTCCACTCTCATCGACGGTTACTCCGAAGTGTTCCCGGATGGAACCCGTAAGCCTAAATATCGGGTTCGACTTCCAGGAAACCCGATCCTTGGCGACGGCAAGGCAGATAACCAAAACCATGCGCTAATCTATTATCGCGGTGAATACCTTCAATTGGTTGATGCAAATCAAGACAATTATTTGGAGGAATGCATCAAGATTAGAAATATGCTCGGAGAGTTCGAAGAATACGTTGCACCTCCCGCTTCCCCATACAATCCAAACTACAATACAGATGTACCTAATCCAGTAGCTATCGTTGGCGCGCGAGAGTACATCTTCTCCGAGAACATTGGTGTGCTTGGGGATGTAGCTGCTGGAAAGGAACAGACGTTTGGCACGCTGTCTCAAAGAAACATGGCCAAAATTGGCGGCAAGCTTCATTACGGTCACCCGGATTTCTTAAACGCAACCTTTATGACCACTCGTGGTGGAGTCAGCAAAGCCCAGAAGGGTTTGCACCTGAACGAAGATATCTACGCCGGCATGAATGCCTTCCAACGGGGGGGAAGAATCAAGCACACTGAATACTATCAATGTGGCAAAGGCCGTGATCTCGGGTTTGCTTCTATCCTCAACTTCACCACGAAGATTGGTACTGGCATGGGAGAACAGATGCTTTCTCGAGAATATTACTATCTTGGCACGCAACTTCCTTTGGATAGGTTCCTGACCTTCTACTACGCGCATCCGGGTTTTCAAATCAACAATATCTTCATCATGCTTGCAGTTCAATTGTTCATGATTGTGCTCATGTTCATCGGTTCCATGAACTCAGTGTTACTCGTGTGCTCGTACAACCCCAAGGCCCCACCTGGCACGGAACTTGGTCCACCCGGTTGTTATAATTTGGTACCTATCTACGATTGGATTACCCGATGCATCATTTCGATCTTCTTGGTGGTGTTCATTGCATTTTTGCCTCTATTTCTCCAAGAGCTCACCGAGAAAGGTTTCATCCGGAGCATTACCCGGCTTGGGAAGCAATTCCTCTCCCTGTCGCCTCTCTTCGAAGTTTTCGTCACCCAAATCTACACCAACTCGATCTTGTCGGATTTGACTTTTGGTGGTGCACGATACATTGCCACCGGCAGAGGTTTCGCGACTGCTCGCATTCCCTTTTCGATGTTGTACTCTCGATTTGCAGGGCCGAGCATCTACTTTGGTTTCAGAACAATGTTCATGCTTCTTTTTGTGACGCTGACGTACTGGAGTCCCTACCTGATCTACTTTTGGATCACCGGCATCGCCTTGATCGTCTGTCCCTTCTTGTTCAACCCTTCGCAATTCAACCTCATCGACTTTATCGTGGACTACCGCGAGTTTTTGCGATGGCTATCGAGAGGCAACGTCCGAAGTCATGCCAATTCATGGGCGGCTTATTGTCGACTGACGAGGACACGGCTAACTGGATATCGACGACCGAAGCTTGGTGATCGCGGTGAGAAGCTGTCCGTAGATGTTCCTAGACCGCATCTCTCTGTCGTCTTCTTTTCGGAGCTCTTCATTCCTCTGGTGATCGCGTTCATCACCTTCTTGAGCTACTCGTTCGTTTTGAGCTTCAATCCAAGCAATCACACACTTTCAAACACAGGAAACTCGTCTTCCATCATGTACGTGCTCATTTTCGCTTTGGGACCAATTGCTGCCAATGCAGCCATGCTATTGGTCCTCGGATCCCTTGCCATTCTCATGGGACCGATGATGGGCAATTGCTTCCCCTCTTTCGGATCATGGACTGCTGGTATTGCACATACGTGGGCGGTACTCACTCTTGTGGCTTCCATCGAGGTCTTTTGGTACACGCAACGATGGAACTTCAGTGAGACTTTGCTGGGTCTGTTGTGCATAGCTGCGGTGCAACGGTTCATTTTCAAGTTTCTTTGGACAGTCTTCCTCACTCGGGAAATTCGGCAAGATGATGCGAACAAGGCATGGTGGTCTGGTACTTGGCACGACAGAGGATTCGGCTTCGCGGAGTTCATGACTCAACCGTTCCGAGAATTTATTGTCAAGATTGTGGAAATGACCATGTTCGCTACCGACTTTCTCCTTGGTCACGTCCTTCTCTTCTTGCTCTTCCCACTCTGCATCATTCCTGGTCTAGACAGGCTACACATGGTAATGCTGTTCTGGCTTCGACCCAGCAAGCAAATACGTGAACCTGTTCTATCTCCAAAGAGGAAACAAAAACGGCGATTTGTGTTTATCACTTATGGACTGCTGTTCATATTGGTCTACCTGGCATTCGCGGCAATGATTACGGTTCCTTTGGTGCTCAAGACGCAAACTACGTGGACAGCCCCATCAATACCATAGACGTTATATAGTTGCAATTTCGCTTAATTTGTAAAGTTTCCTTCCTCACCTCTACGTTTACATTTTACACCTTCAATCCGCTATAACAAGGAAGAAGAAAAAGAAACGATCATCTGTAGCCATTGTTTTTATTGTTACACGGATTCTATCATGCATTGGTTCGATTAAAGGGAAAATGCGACTATTCTTCAGCATCCGTCTTCGCCTGCTTCTGAGGCCGGTCGGCTCCGCCTTCGACTGCTCGCTTAGCATTTCCCTTTCCGTTTTGCTTATTTCCTTTGCCTCCGCGGCCGCCCTGACGTTTTTCGGAAGCTCGACTCTTGATGGCCTCCGCCTTTGCTAGGTAAGTGACAGATTCTTCATCTACATGACAATAATCAATAATAGACTTCGTGCCATCGATAACAGCTTACACCTACCGGTTGGCAATCTATATTCAGTGGCGGTAGCATCACCAATCTTATATCCGTCAGGGTTTGCCTTGATCTTCTCCACCATCTTGTCTGCTGTGGAATCTTGAAGAAACGCTACGCCTTGATCTTCGGCCTTATCAAACACAACGTATTTGACAGTCATGCCCATATTGGCGAATTTGCTTCGGAGTCCGGTGGCAGTCGTTACATCTTGTCCGATACCCTTAAAGTGAAGCATGCTATCCTTTGAAAGCTTCTGGCCTTGGGTTTGATCAAATTTTGAAGCCTTGGGCTTGTACTTTCCAAATTCGCTGCCATATTTTTCCCGCTTTGATTCAATGTAATCATTCCTGTGAGATTATGTCAGCCAAAGACGGCGAGCAAGCTCACAAAACCGTAGAAACCTACTTTGTCATAACCAGGAGCTCTTTGCCATTGTATTCCAACTTCTTCTTGGCGATCTCGTTTGCCTCTTCTACAGACGAATACTCAACAAAGACGGATCCCTGGGCAAAAGTCAACGCATGGACATGGCCAATTATGCTCCTTGATCGTACCTTGAAATTCTTGTCGTCATCGCGTCGAAGACGAACAGATTTGACTTGTCCCAAAGTGCTAAAGTATTCTTCCAGCTTGCGTTGCAAATTTGGCTCTGTCTCAAACCCTTTCTGCAAAATGAGAGATCTTCATAAGCATTTGAAATTGATTGAACAGAAATGAAAAGCCTACCGCATAGATAGAGCGTGCATTGTAGTCTACACTTTGCGCAACGGCGGTCTTCCGTCGAACCTTGGAGTTGTCCTCGCTGACTTCAAGCAATTCGCTAGACTCCTTGAGTGCCTCCACAACGAGTTGAGGGTCATTGAATTCTTTCATCCGCTTGAAGTTGCTGATTATTGCAATTGGGACCCCTAGCGCATCAATAAATCTTTCAGACAAAGCTACTTTGCGATCCATTCACTCATTGACCTACATCCTTCAGGGTTTTGACGCACCAGAGTGTTCAAAAAGGTATCCACGGGAAGATTGGAGTCAGAGAAGTAAAACTCGACTTGCTTCAGGATAGCAGCCTTCTTTTCGGCTACGTTATCCATAGCAGCAGTCTCTCCGTTGGTCTAATTAAGCATAACTTGGTCAGCTGTCCCCGAATACCCCAGTAGTGTCTCCACCAAGAGTATGCTTCATTACTCTCCTTCACGATAGCGCATCGCCAATATTGCAATGACTTTTTAACCGGATACAAGGTTGCCAGTCACCCTTCTCACCCTCCAAATCTAGCAGTAACGCATACACTTACCTTTACCGGCTCTTGTTCAGTGGACATGAGGGATGAAAAAGAGTATCGCGCGCCGTCAGACTGATCCAGAAAAAGAAAAAAAAATAAGAAATGAATAAAAAACAAAATTTACGACAGCAGCAGGATTTGAACCTGCGAAGGCAAAGCCTACCAGATAGCTCGATAATTCAAGTCTGGCCCGGTGGACCACTGCGGCATACTGTCTTTAGAAATTTTTACGCTAGGGTGATCCTACATATCCAGATGAAGCTGATTAACGTTAAAATCACGTGATCGTGTCGATGTTCGATTGTTTCTGATGGCTGGACCTCCTCAAGCACCTGAAGCGAACGCTATTGGTGACAAGCGGCTGCTTATCGCTTGGAATGATTCATGCATCGGCGTATGCTTAGGCTTCTGGCAGATAATGCTTATGGTCTTGTTAATATTCGATTCATTTGTCGGTCACTTGTGACGGCTTTTAAGAGAGTGTGCAACCGCGCTACGTGAACACTTGCAGTCAGGGTAGGGGGCTCAAGTGAGGAACTATGGCTTCCATCTCTGGCGCTTTAAAGAAGCGTGAGTATCATTCTTTTAGTATAGACAAGTAGCTAGGTTAAAACGAACGTTTTGCTGGCAGGCTTTCTTGATACCATACGGTCCATTCAACCAGCAAGAAAATGGAAAATCGTTGTGGTAGATGCAAAGAGCATCAAGATACTATCGTCTGCATGCAAGATGTCGGACATTTTGGATGAGGATGTAAGTGACTGTCTGCCTTGTTGTGCTCGATTTCTTCCGTGTTGACAATGCCCGGTTTCGTTCTTTTAGGTGACCTGTAAGTCATCTCGCGCTTATGCTTGAGGCAGGTACTAACGCCTCTAGACAACAGTAGTAGAGACTCTTGAGAGGCCGCGTCAGCCAACACCAAGTCTGGAAGCAATATATTTTCTGACACCATGTAGGGAGTCCATTTTGCGTCTTTTCGATGATTTCGCACGACGATCTAGCCCAATGTACGCCGCCGCGCATGTTCACTTTACAGCTGGTGGGTTGCCTTTGTGCGCTTCTACCAATTGTTGTGCTTATGATCGATTAGCGCTTCCTGATGCCTTGTATGACGAGTTGAATGCCAAACTGAAACGCGCAGGAGGGAAGGATTGGATCAAAACTTTTAAAGAGATGTATATCGACTTCCAAGGTAGGCAATGACTAGCTATCCTTCGCCTTTGACATCTTTTAATCCGCCTCTGCAGCGTATGAGTCAGCAGTGTTCAACTTGGCATCACCAACGAGCTTTCTAAAGTTGTACGGTGCTGAGGCGCGGGGCGAGGTTGACGAAGAACTCTCTAAACTTGCCAAGCAACTCTTGTCAGTATGCTTGACCCTGAGAGAAAACCCACTTATTCGATATCACCGACCTCTTGAGCCACCTGAAGGAGTCATCTACAAATCTCTACCATATAGACTGGCTATGCTCGTACAAAAAGAACTCGAAGATTATTGCCGATTGAATCCGAATTTCCCTGTAAGTGCGCTTGCTTTTGCTCGTGAAAGGTGTGCAAAGTCTCACTGATTTCGTATAGCCGAGACAAAATCCACCTCAGCCTCGCGCGGCTCTGATCATCCTTGATCGGACTACAGACACATCAGCGCCATTGCTTCACGAGTTCACATACCAAGCGATGATGAATGACTTATTGCCCATTGAAGCCAACGGAACGCGCTACAAATACCAATTTTCGCAGGCTGATGGATCAATTGCCGAAAAGGAAGTAACTCTGGACGAAGACGACCAGGTGTATATGGGTATCAGACACATGCATATTGCCGAGTGCACAGACAAGCTTGTGAGCCAGTTTAATGAATTTCTACGCGAGAACAAGCAAACGTGAGTGGCCCCGTACAAAGATTAATAATTGTGATGCTCACGCCTCGGACATAGCAAACATGAAGATGCAGTTAGGAGTCTACGGGATATGAAAGACACGCTGGCCAATCTTCCGCAATTCCAAGACCTCAAAACCAAGGTATATATTACCAAACCTTTTGGTTGTTCTTTCGCTCACGCTGCAATCCCCGTGACAGTATTCGGCGCATATCTCCATTGCTCAAGACTGCATGGCTGCATTCGAAAAGACAAAACTCAACCAAGTTGGGACGCTGGAGCAGGTATGGTTGATGCAATCTTTCGTTTCGCAGGAACGCATTGACCTGTAGCTCGCTGTAGAACATGGCTTGCGGGGAGACTGCCGATGGACAGGTGCCGAAAACCAATGTCTTGGACATGGTGCCTCTACTTGACGACCCTTATCTAAGCCCGTTGGACAAGACGCGCCTCCTCATGTTGTACATCATGTCACGCGAGACCGGTGTCCTGGACGACGACCGTCGCAAGTTGATCAAACATGCCGATATCCCTCATGATCTGGCTATGGCTATTGAAAATCTACCACTCATCGGTATCCAATTGTCCAAGACGCGTGGTACGCATAAAAAGAAGAAGCGAGAGAGAAGTCGTAGGGGCGCCGATGAGGACATGCCTTATGAATTGAGTCGCTATGTACCGGTCGTTCGCAAAGTTGTGGAGGTGAATATGGCGACAGTGCATCAGCGGGGATACTGAATAACTCTTTATACGCAGGGACATATTAGTAACACTGTAGATCCCGCCGTATACCCCTACACCAGACCGGAAGACAATGAGCAAGCCGAAAAGGACAGAGAAGACGCCGCCAAGATACCCGTATCCCTAAGAAGCACCAAGCCCAAGTGGGGTCAAAAGGCAGGTGCATCCGGTCCCCGCATGGGTGCCAAGGTCATTGTCTTTGTCATTGGAGGCATGTCATTTTCAGAGATTCGCAGTGTGTACGAGATTGCGAACGCGCAAAATAGGGACGTGTATATCGGTAAGTTGCCTGCCCAGTCCCCCTTTGCCATCCCTTACACTCGCATCAAGGTTCAAGTCACATAGTCACGCCAACCCATTTTATGGAGGATATGAAGGATCTCAGGAAACCAGTACCGCAATTACCTCCAATTATTCCACGCTATCAACCTCCAAGAGATGACGATCCTCCAAAAGCCATGAGAAACACCCCACCCCCACCTGCTCCGTCCGGTACGCTCGCCCCACCTCCATTGCAACATCAGACGTCGAGTGGTAGCGTGCATAGTACAAGTGGACAGAGTGCCAAGAGTGAGGCTGAGCGCAAAAAGAAGGGACTCAAGTTTTGGTGAGGCGTGAGGTGACAGCCTGTAGACAGTCTACCCGAGCGACAAGACTTTAGAGGCAGCATCAGAGAGAGGAACATGAATTGTACGCTATAGACGAGTCATATAGCTAGAAGAAACTGATCTGATCTCACTTTATGCAGTGGTTCCTTGGACTGGCATTGGGATTGAGCACCATCATTCTCTGCTTATCGACACCATGACACAAGCCGACGCAGGTACAACAGGAGCATGTCCCTATTGCGAAGGCTTGTTCGAGGATGAGCATCTGTTATCCATTCACATATCCACGCGACATCCCTATCAATCCACCGCCCAACCGTGCAACAAACCTTACAGCTCCGAACCATCCTTTGAGCAAGACCGTCGCAATTCAAGACATGGCTCAGAAACGACCCAGGACGAGCAGAACGAGGCAGCGAACACGGCTTTCAAGCCTCCGGAACGCCTCTTTACCTGCCGCGTCTGTCCCGCCGAGATCTTTGAAAATGACGACCAGTGGTTCGCTCACCTTGTGGATAACCCAGGCCACGAACCCCTCATGATCTGCAAAACCTGGCATCCCCAAGAGCAAGACACCTCGCTTCGGGTGAGGTGCGCCGAGTGCGATGCCGTGATTACTGGAGCGCCTCCACAGGATACGACCGTGCCTGTTCATTATACGTGTCAAATATGTCAGCTTTCCTTTTCGATCCTTGATCGCCTCAAAGAACACGTTGCCATCCACCGCGAATCGTTATTCGTGTGTGGAGAGTGCGGAGACGAGTTTGCCAATGAGGTTGCGTTCTTGACGCATTATGACGAGTGCACGCACGTTCCGGTGGACTTTGTGTGTAGGTGTGGGGAGAGATTCAAGGATGCAGAAGGCTCAGGGAGCATCGACAGAGTTCTTGTCTTGCATGACACCTTTGCACTTGTTGCCAATTCGCGCCATAAAATTGATAATGCATCCCGTTGTTCTCGAGACATTGAGCTGAATAAGCTGATGAGTAGGATCCATGATAAATAAGGTCGATGCAGAGAAAGAGAGAAAGAAAGAAAGAGAGAGAGAGAGAGAGAGATGGCTCAAGTGTTTCTAATCCAAGCTATTGGACATTCATTCTCCCACATGTCTAAGCACCGAAAGGCCTATATTGGCGAAGTTTGATGCCAGCTACTGGAAGCGCAATGTGTCGATCCCACACAGACAAGCAAGATGGATGCAGTGAGAAGCTTGTCTTAATCGCAATATTCGAGTTGCATATGTACACACAGGATCCCATCCTCATTTTTTGGCCGCCTCAGCTTTAGCCTTTTCAGCCGCTTCCTCCGCCTTGGCCTTGGCCTGCTCAGCCGTCGACTCAGTCTTTCCTTTGACTTGGCCTGTCGCCTTGTGGGCGACTTCCTTGGCCTTGCCTTTCGTTTCGTCGATCGTGGCACTGGTTTTGCCGGCAACATCGTGAGCAGTTGCCTCTACTCGGCCTTTGGCTTCATGAGCCTTGGCATCGACTATGGAATGCACATTGAGTTCATCATAACACAATTTCAATGCACCGCTTACCCTTGCCGCTATTATAGTAGTAATAAGCGCCTGCGGCAGCAACCAGACCACCGATGATCAACAATGTGGTATTGTTGCCTCCTTGTTGAGAGAAAGTATCCGTAGCAGCACGGCGAATAGGATGGCGAGGGGCAGATCGCAATAGTTGACGAGTGAACATGATGTGTGAGGAAAAGCTAGTGTAGAGTGATGTTTATATACTTGGGCGTTTATGAACATGCGAAAACGTAATGAACTAAATTAGGAAATAACAGTCTACGGGAGAACAATGGAGATGATGTCAGACCGCACGTGGGATGGTGTTGAAGATGCGCGCGTTCAGCGCGCTCGTCACTTGTCCTTCCAGGTTCACATGTATGCTAGTCATCATATGGGAAGGCAACTTCGTGTTGGATGAGCGCCAGAGTGCGACTGGCAGTTTGCGTTTCAAACAATGGAAATTGTCCATTAT